CAGAAACTATTGGAAGGATTTGTCTGAAAATTTGTACACATATTATTCATCATATGAAGTTGTGCACCTGATATTTTCATCTTGATTCGATTATTATTTTGAATTTTACAGGTGTTTTTTCAATTTTTATTTTGTGGTTTTGTCCGGACCGTTTCTCAGAAACTATTGCAAGGATTAATCTGAAAATTTGTACACTTATTATTCACCAGATGAAGGTGTGCACCTTGAATTTTCAACTCTTTTTGTTAATTTTTTTGCATTTTACAGGTTTTATTTTTTATTTTGATTGACTTGTTCCTTTTGGGCTCATGTATAAGGTTTGAGATATAGAATCTAGAATATCTGTTCAAAAATACTACAGCTTAAAACTACTCATAAAAACTTTTAAAAAAGGAACATCATCAAGTGTTAAAAACAGTTTTTACATTGCACAGAAGATAATGTAATTTCATTTGTCTCTTGGGAATAATGACTGGACATGCATCCAGTTAAAGATAAATTAATGAGTTTGGTGTTGGAAGTTGTTAAGGCATATCTCTTATCAAGCGTGTGTGTTATCTAATCTCCAGGGAATAAGGCACAAGAATTAAAGATCTCTCTTCTCTTATTCTCTTAATTGTAATTTATTGTCTGTCTAAGCACTTCATTACTGGATGACCAGCTCTTTATTTTCAAAATGCATTTCAAATTGATATATCAAGATTAATTTGATTTTGTATGATGTTTTTTAATTTTTAACAATCAGTTTGCAGAGTGACATAACACATAATTGCAATATTTTTTTAAATGCAGAAATAAAAAAAAATAAAATTAAAAAATAAAAAAAAATGTTACAGTGGAATTACAATGTATTAGTATTGATGTTTCATTTGGTTGCACCTTTCTTTCATTCATTAAGAAACATGATGAGCAATTATATTTCACTGCAAATTTTTGTAACACCTCTAGATCCATAAAGTATTTTTGAATTGGCACCTTCTCTGAAAAACCCAGCGGGGGGTATTTGTCCCTATTGGACAGTTCTAGTTTCAAACTTGCTTTCACTGGGCAGCATTTATAACAAGTATCATTTTTAACCATCCGCCTTCCCTCACTAAATTGATAGTCATCCAATCATAGATCGAATTTATAGGAAGTCTTTCGTCTTAAATACACTGTGTACAAATTATTATACGCTACTGCAAAGGAATTTCTAAGATATACCATAAATTTTACTGTCATTCGTTGAACGAGTACGACTGAGACAACCATTTTATGTCACAAGTGACCTACATAGTGACATCATTTTCACATTGTGACGTTAAAAACAAGGAACAAAACTTTATTGAGCATATGCTATTTATAGAACTTGTGTATGGCTATGTGTATACCAATTTTTTCTAATCTGAATCGTGTTTTTGTACATATAGAGATAGTTCGCGAACTTTTTGATCACCCCTCGTATAGTTTACAACTGATAAACATAGTTTGTCGACTGAAAAACTATGTTAAGCACATTTTTGTGAATTTGGCGTGCCATAGATAATGACTTATAACGAATTAACAAAAATGTTCTTTTTCAGTCTTTGCTCAAGGTAATATAAAACGTTCGATTACAAAAAAAAAAAGCACAGGGATTAAGGGGTTTTTTTCTTCTTTTTTTTTATTGATTCTTAGTTGGAAAAAAAAACGAGGTAGCGATCTTGAACAATCTTGCAAAAAGTTTACTGGGACAAAGTAAAGAACAAGGTACAGTTTCAATACAAATTAAGCCCTGTATTTTTCTAAAATATGAAAGTGATATAAGAAATTAAAATTCATTCTTTCTGATTCACAGGAATTTCATGCAGTAAGAATAAACAAATCGTTTTTCTCATATGACCTCCTAAATTTTCTTTCAGCTGCAGGAAACATACTCTGCCACCGTCGTCCACAAAGATTTTGAGATATGTGATTTTTCAAAGCAGTTTACAAAACATATCCAAAAACTGAAGTGGGCGACGATGGCAGACACTATTTTCTAAAGGAAAGTAAGCACAGAAATGAGTCATTCTGATGCTTTTCTACATTAAACTTAGAAATGAACCAACTTAATGACCTCATATTTCCAGAAAGGTACTCCTTCATGCCATATTCTTTAGTAATTTATCATATTTATCTACTCAACTCTTGTTAAAGCCAATTTCATAACTTTTTAAGAACATTAAATTTTAAGGCACATCAAAGCCCAAACTGTACTTTCTTCATCGTAGAAATTAACAGGAACAATATTTTTAGAGAGAATTTGTACACTGTAACAAAATGATTTTCATAAACAGATACGATATTTCGTTGTAATGCATATCAATGAAAACTTTCTGCAGAGTCATTTACAAAAACAAACATAACTTCAACTTTAACTTCGTCAAATGATTTTAAACAAAAGGCGGATAATATCTTAAATCATTTGACGAAGTTAAATTAGGAAGCCTTTAAGACGTTTGATTTTGCATACATACTGCACACGATTACATGTCAGCTCTGCTTCTTTTTTTTTTTATCCAGCATTCTATAATTTTTTTTCATTATCTTGTGCGGATTTTATTTTTGCAAATCTTTTATTTGTTGTTTGTATGTATCTTCATTTTTACTTTGTCTAGTAAGTACCGCGGTATGTAAATAACGTTTGTAAAGCACGGAATAATATAGTAAAACGTAATTTTCCATGGAAGCATGTGATAATGTTTGGAAATAAATATTTAAAAAAAAATAGGTATTTTTGTTATTGCGTTTAATTATCTTGAGAGTCTTCATGGTTCAAAATATTTTGGCAGATTTTGTAACAAAAGAGCTTAAAAAGAGGAACTGAAATAATGATATAAGTTTTTTTTGTTTATAACTGTATACATATGTATATACTAAAATCTATTTTTATGATTTTGTATGGAATTGTTGTCAATGACATGATTTGAATAAAATCAGGTTTCCTAAGCAACAAAATGAGAAAATAATTAGCATACTACCCTATCTCGATATTGTTCTGTTCAAATTTAAATAAATTTCGGAATCTCAGTTATACAACTTGATATAACATCAAAATTTGAACAATCAAGACTTATGTCAAGAAAAGCATAAATATATACGAAATGTATTTCTGTATATACAGTGGAGCCTTTATCCGGACGCTTTGGTTCCTTGTCAATTTGTCCGAATATGTGAAGCGTCCGGATATCTGAATTACCAATTAAACAAGACAATGTAACATTAAAAAATTCTGTTCCGATGAAAAGTCGTCCGGATACTGAAGCATCCGGATATCTGGGGTCCGGATATCTGAAGGACCACTGTAATTTAATTTATTGTGATTTTATACAGTGTAATAATTAACGATTGTTTGCGTCATTCGAAGTAGGATGAAAAAATTGGCTCAGTTGATCTGTCATAATTTTTCTACAGAAAATTTCAACGCCAGTGTTGAAATTCAAATAAAATAATTATTCCAGATGCAGTAAAAATTATTACTTCCTAAAGGTTATCACAAAACATTGATATTTTGAAACGTTTACTGGACTCGCTATGTTTCTTTGTTTGTAGGGATTTTTATGTTTACATTTAATTTAAGAATCTAATATACGTATGATAATTTAAAATCATTTCATTGCTGGAAAACTAACGTATAATTTGGAAGAATTTTCTCCTTAAAAATGAAAAGTTGGAATGTCACTTGCAGAAAACAATTCCAGTTCATCTAAAATATAATTTAAACAAGATGTGTTTGAGAAACACTGATGCCTTCGTATCGCAGCATAGCGAAGATTAAACTTTTCTTAAATGCAAACTCACTGGAAATACAATTCTGAAATATGAAAGTAGGCCATGGTTAAAGTTTCTTCATAAGTACGGAAGTATCCAAGGTCAAGGTTAAAAGATGAAGGTAACTGGTATCCATGGAATGAGAGGTCTTGCCACAAAATATATATGTGAAGTATGGAAGCCCTAGCCCTAACCCTTCATAAGTTATGGTCAAGGTTTGCTTTTTAAAAGTAGGTCAAACTCCAAGGCCAAAGGGTCAAAGTTCTTGGTATCCAATAAAGGGACTTTTCACAAGAATTACATATGTGAAGTATGAGATCACTAGCCCTTAGAGTTCAAAAGTCATGGCCAAGGTTAAAGTTTTTCATAAGTATGAAAATCTCCAAGGTCAAGATCAAAAGGTCAAGGTATCCAATGAAAGGTCTTGCCACAAAGAATACATATGTGAAGTATATGAAAGCCTTAGTCCTAACCGTTCAGAAGTTATGGCCAAGGCTAAAAATTTTAAAAAGTAGGTCAAACTCCAAGGTCAAAGGTCTTGCTATCAAAAGGTCTTGTCACAAGGATTAAATATGTTTTACAAAGTATGAAAGCACTAGCCTTAACCCTTTAAAAGTTATGGTCAAAGTTTGCTTTGTTAAAGGTCAAACTCCAAGGTCAAAGGGTCAAAGTTCTTGGTATCCATGAAAAGTCTTATCACAAGGATTACATATATGAAGTATGAAAGCCCTATCCCTTACCGTTCAAAATTTATGGCCGAGGTTAAAGTTTTTTCACAAGTACAGAAATCTCTAAGGTCAAGGTCAAAAGGTCAAGGTTGTTGGTGTCCAATGAAAGGTTGACCAATTCCGAAATTGATTCTACGGGCGTGTGTAAGGCCAACATTCATTAATTCCTTAAAAATTAAAGCGAATAAAAGTATGTTAGTTAGGTTGGACCTACATAAGAATCCTAAAATAATGGAAAAGGTTGGCATGGTTCAACTCAGCCAAACGCTGTCCACTTAACCATGCATTTTACCGATGTTTGCTCGATATATATAAAGTCATGCTATCTAGGATGAAACTCTTATCATCTTAAAAGGAAACGACCGGGATTTATTTTTTTTTTGTAAATTAATCTGAAGAAAGAGGCTTCAGCTCTAGTGCATTTTTCCGGAATTAAATTTCTTCCTATATCTGGTTTTAATTTTACTAAGCTCTGGATATTTCCAGTATTGAAATGCGAAACCAAACTCCAAAGCAAAGCCAAGGGTAAGTATGATGGTGATAAAAAAGGTTCCTTTATTGTGCCATTTTCTAAAATGTTGATGTTGTGATCATTGTGGGCAAGCACAAGTGCATGTTTAACCAAGATCTACCTTTTCAAACCACACGAGACATTTGGAACCCCAGGTACATGTCCTTGAGACTGGTTTGATTCCTGGTCACACCACAGGTCTCTGAATTTCTATCAATAAGCCGTCATATGATTGATGTGATACATATACCCCATATATAAATAAAGTATTTATATGGAAAGGGTATAATATATATCACTCTATTCAGTCATATAACGGTTTATAAATATTGATAGAAATTCATATGCACATGATGCATGTGGTCATTTCATCAGCATTTTAAATGTACTTTTTACAATCCAATAAGTTGTAGCAGTTCAGGCCATATGTATCATAGATACCTTCCTTGGTAGCTCTTTGGTAATGCAGGAACCCTGATCAACAGACTATACACAGACTTTTGACATGGGCTTGGTTTATGTTGTGAATTTTTATTAAATAAATCATGTTACATGTAATTGTTGTTACTGCAAGAACAAAGTTAGCAGTGATATGTATATGAGTTGAATTGCTGGTATATGCTCAAGTCGTAATTTTCTCTACTCCCAGGAATTATTTTTGAGTTTGCAGTGCAAGTGATAATTTTCACATCCCCCCTCCCCCAACAAAAAGTACTATTTTGAAAACCTTTGAATAATCTGTTTATTGTTTAATCATATTTAAATGTTCCATCAAGATAAACTTTTCATTTTGTCTGCATATTAAGCACTTCTTTCATGTACGAGGTAGCCCCTACTTTTTCTTTTCACAAAGTACAAACAGTAATTAAATCTCAGACACCTCAGAGCCCTGTATATGAAACAAGTGTCTTCACTTGTCTGGAGAAGTTCTCTAAAATTATCTTGCATATTTAATGTTGGCTTTTCTTTTTTGTAGAAAAAGATCTGGAACATTTTTGGCCATTGTGATGGCATGCATGCACATATACTGTTAGAAGCCTGGTTGCAGAGAGGCTAAATATGGAGGTTATTTCTCTTTCAATAACCTGTATCAAACACGAGTCCAGCAATACCAGTGATGATACTAAGTACTTCACCACCCAGAAAAATACTAGTAAAACACAAACATCTCCAGTATCTATACAGACAAATGTTTCACAACCCTCAAATATGGAATCTTCAATGAAGAAGGAAGAAAATGTAGGTCATGTGACTTCATCACCATCTCTGGGCGATGGACTGGTTGCTCTCAAGCACACAGCTCAAGAAGAGAAGAACAAGAATGAAAAATGTCATATGGATCGTATTCTACCAGGAATGTCAGATGAAAAGGCAAATAAGTCTGAAAATACTATAAACAATGCTGAAAATGGTGAATGTTCTGAAAGAAGCCTTGATTTCTACAATCAGAAAGAATCAAAGAAAAATACTGATGCTGTTCCAGAGACAGATGCAGAAGAAAAAGATGTTAAAGAAGCTTTTACCATAATAAAGTGGGAGGCCCCATTGCATGATAAAACAGAGAAATGTTTTTGTGATACATGTAATTTAAATAGACAAGCAACAGAAATGGATAATACAAATTCATTGATATCTTCTCCATTGCTTAGTGATGGAATGGTAACTTTAAAGCACGGAAAAGGAGGAGGGGAGAGAAGCATGGAAAAATATCTTGGTCATATGGGTAACTCTCAACCTGGAATGCTAGAAGAAACTGAAATCAAGTCTGAACAATGTATTAATGATTCTAACAATGGTGGATCTTTTGAAAGGAACAATGAATTCTATAATCAGAAAGAGTTAAGAGAAGACAATGAAATAAATTCAGAGACAACTGTAGAGAAAAATTTGAAAGAAGGTTTTACCAAAATAAAGTGGGAGGGCTGCAGGTTTGATAAAACAGAAAATGATAATTTGATTCAACTAAATACAAGAGAAGTTGATACCAATTCTGTGAATGTGGACATTGATAATGACTCACATATAACCATTGTAAAATATAATTCACTTAAAGCAAATGATTCACAGATCAAAAATAATAGTCAGAAAAGACCTTCCACTTCTCGTATATTTCCAGGAAAACAACCTGTTGTGATATTGAAAAGATTAAAAATGAAGGATGGCTCGAACAGCTGTGATTATTCTAAAACTACAGGAAAAGATCCAAGTGATGAGGTTTATAGCAGCGAAGTAAAAATTGAAAGGAAAGATGATGAACAAACATTTATTGAAACATCTGAACAGGGGATGTTCTTGAGAAATATTTCTGACACTGAAGGACCTGTCAAGACAAGCTCTTCTGTGAAGGAGGAAAAAAAAGATGCAGGGACAGATCAATGTGAGTTTGACCTGAGTCAAGAAATGAAAGACGAGATCCAAAGTGCCATTCAAACAAACATCGAAGCGATGGTGATTTCTAATCAGACAAGTAATGGGGAGGGATTCTCCTATGTTTATCCATATGCTTGTGGACAGTGCAATTATACAGCAAAATTACAGCATCATCTTAAAAATCACATGAAGATACATTCAACAGACCGTCCCTTTGTGTGTGATGTTTGTGGAAAAGGGTTCAAACATGATCACCACTTAAATGGACACAAGCGAACTCACTCGGGTGAGCGTCCTTACTCCTGTGAGGAATGCGGCCGAGATTTCACCCAGATAAGCAATTTACTCCGACACCAGAAAACTCATCAAGGACTTCCAGAATCACCGCGCCATAAATGCTTGAAATGTGACACAAGTTTCTCTACAGCGTATTCACTTAAACGCCATCAAGACGTACACGAAAATTTAAAAGAGAAAGTTAAAACTATGAAGAATCATAAAGGCAAGAAGAAGAAATTGACATATAATCCTCGCATTGATGACACGAGGCGAGAGTTCGAGTGCGATGTTTGTGGGCGTCGGTTCCGTAGGAAGGAACATGTGATGCGACACATGTTGACACACACCGGGGAGTCTGCGGTACACATACATGCATGTGAAGTGTGTGACAAAAAATGTGGTAGTAAGCGGGCTCTTGAGAATCATATAAAAATCCATACAGGGGATGATATTGACATCGATTCCATGTCTTCAACAGATGAATCTGATTCTGAGGAAGAATTTGAATCTGACTAATAAAATTATAAGATATATTAATTTTTGTATAAAATATTAACAAAGGAAAACAAGTATAAAGTGAGCATATGTTTGGGGATAATTTCTTTGATTTTTTTTTTCATTTTGATGTTATTATTTATAAATGAATTGTTTTGTCGTCCTTTTATAGCCATGTGATCAGATAAGATATGCATTCATTATACTGGAAAGGACTTTCAGTAAATCATGTTTGTTTGTTTAAAAAAAACAAAACTTCAAAGTGAATCACATATATACGCTGTTCTACATGTAGAACTACCAGTTTTATGCACATGTATTGAAAAAAAAATTAATTTTGTTTTTGTGTACTTTGCTTTCTTTGTCTAGGTTGTTTATTAAGGAACTTACATGCAACAAAAAAAATGTTCTTTCAGCAGCGAGTTATCAAACTTGTAATAAAAGATGAATTATACTCTTCTCATCAGTGTCTGCATCCAAATTTAAAGCGTTATGGAGTATACTGGTTTGTCAATCCCAAGAAATAATCCCAACTAGTCAAGACTTGCATGGATGATGCATCTAGGGATGCACAATACCAGATCTGCTTCACTTAAAGCATTGTACCTATGTTTTTCACATTAGTGAACAGGCAATATTTTTTGGAGCGCAAGTTTACTTTCAGGAAATTGAAAGCATTAACTATCCAGAGATTGTGCATATGTATCATAGTATGCAGCTTTAGGTGCTGCATGAGCCTGCATCAGACACACATTTTCTACACAGTTAAACAGCTGTAAATTTTGGAAACAGTTTGATCTATTCCAAACTTTTCTTTCAACAGGCAAAATTAACTTTTATATGTGTTTCCTTCATAGGTGCACACTATTACATTTGCTTTAAATGTGTGTAATCTAAATTTTCTGGAACACAGAAAGGTTTAAAAGTTTTGGTATTTCAAAGTCTTGACCAGACCAAACTTCAAGGGATGTTGCATAAGCTGCAGTTAAGTACCCCTTACCATTCTTTTTAGCTCACCTGAGCTGAAGGCTCAAGTGAGCTTTTCTGATCACATTTTGTCCGTCCGTCTAGCTGTCTGTCCGTTTGTAAACTTTTCACATTTTCGACTTCTTCTCAAGAACCACTGGGCCAATTTTGACCAAACTTGGTACAAAACATCCTTGGGTAGAGGGAAATTTAAATTGTAAAAATGAAGGGCCAAGGTCCCTCACAAGGGGAGATAATCAAGAAAAGACAAAAATAGGGTGGGGTCATTAAAAAATCTTCTTCTCAAGAACCACTGGGCCAAGTAAGCTGAAACTTATGTGGAAGCATCCTTGGGTAGTGTAGATTCTAAATTATTCAAATCATGACCCCCGGGGATAGGACGGGGCCACAATGGGGAATCAAAGTTTTACATAGAAATATATAGGAAAAATCTTCAAAAATCTTCTTCTCAAGAACCACTGAGCCAGAAAAGCTGAAACTTATGTGGAAGCATCCTTGAATAGTGTAAATTCTAAATTGTTCAAATCATGACCCCCGGGGGTAGGGCGGGGCCACAATGGAGAATCAAAGTTTTACAAAGAAATATATGGGAAAAATCTTTGAAAATCTTCTTCTCAAGAACCACTGGGCCAGAAAAGCTGAAACTTATGTGGAAGCATCCTTGGGTAGTGTAGATTCTAAATTGTTCTAATTATGACCCCAGGGGTAGGGCGGGGCCTCAATGGGGAATCAAAGTTTTACAATGGCCATTGGGGAATCAAAACATCCTATGGTACATGTAGTGTAGATTTCAAATTGTCTAAATTATGATCAGTGGGGTAGGGTCGGGTCACAATATGTATTACAAGGGGGAAATCTGGTAAAGAACGGAATGGTCAAAGCTTCTCAGGTGAGCAATGTGGCCCATGGGCCTCTTTTTTGAAGGGGAGGGGGGATGATTATCAAATTAAGAAAAATAGAGAATGCGACATTAGAACATCAAACTTAAAAAAATGTGTGTTTGCCCTCTCCTTACTCTGGATGAAAAATATGGGTTGATAGCTATAGGTAGCTGTGAAAAATATTTTAAGGAAAATTTTTCAAATTAAGGCTAAGAATAATTGTTTTCTGGAGATTGAGCTATGTCATTTTTTGCCAGAAAGTCAGGAGAGGGCAACCAAATTTTTAAAGATGACATTATTGCAGTTAAATGTTTCATCTAAGGCTATCCTACTAGTCTAGAACATCCATGTGGTGCTAGATTTTGCCTTTATTCTAGATAGCATTATTATACAAGAGTAATGTTTGTGACAAAAAGAAGATAGCCTTTAACATCATCACATAAAGTGCAATTGTGTCAAGGTGAATTGAAGAGGCAGTTGCCATTAGCTCAAGCAGTTTACTCTTGATAACTGTCCTAACAGCCACCAGTAAAATATCAGGCATGGGCTATAAATTGGGAATCACCAAACAAAATTTTGTTCGTACGGGCAATTTTGGTCCTTCTTATTTACATAACTTGAACTGATTACACTGATGAAAACCAATCTAAAAAATCCACAAAAATACAAGATTGTGAACAGGGCATAAAACATGAGCCCTAAAAATTGCAGAGGTCTAGATTCCAGAGGATCAGGTGCCTAGGAGGAGTAAGCATCCCCTGTTGAGTGGCCACACCTGAAGTAAGCCCCCATATACTGATCATGCCCCATGTACTCACCAGGCTGACGGAACACTAAACAAATACAATAATTCTTTTCTACATTATTTTATTTACACACTGTACAAAAACTAAATGTAAAGTCAACAAGATTTTTATCCACTTAGGTCTTTGAAGTAAGCTACAACTGAGTTAAATTTTTCTGGCACTGTTTCTGGTAGATCTGCAAGAGTCGTGAAGACACTGTTCACACCTACAATGAGAAGAGATAAACTTAATTCTGAGATTAGTAGTACTTAATCACATTTGAAAAGAGCACCGGTACTGTGAAATCACTAATTTTCGTGAGGTTTAGTTTTCGTGGTTTTCAAGGTATGAAGAGACCCACAAATTTATTTCCTCTTACTACCAACTGCAATTTTTCATGTATATTACTACATGTACTGAACAATTCTACAACCTCAAAATCAAATCCCCATAACCCAATATATTTCCTCAAACCATGAAAATTTTACTTATCAAAACTTTGTGATTTTACAGTAATATCAATCTGGGTAGCTAGGGGGATAGAGCGCCTGACTAGTAATTCAGATGACTAGTCCTGATTTGATTTTTTTTCTCTTCCTGTTACACAGTTAAGGTTTAAGAATTTTTAGTTTTTGCCAGACAACACTTACAAGCATTATACTGTGATGGCTGTTGGGGTTTTATTTCTGGTGTGGCTTCTTTCTTCACTGATTTTTGTGCAACAATCTGTTGGTGAAAAAAATATCAAAATGTAATCAAACAAAATCGATTAAAATATGATGAATATATTTTTTTTATTGCAGTATACAGCCTTAGGTCTTATGTTTATGCAAAGACAATATTATTTATTTTTTCCTTATTTCTGGAATATTGTAATTTTTGACAGTGTAATTATCCCACTAAATTGAAGGAGACTCTTTATTTCTTTTTTTAGGTGTATAAAAAGGTGAAACTTCCTGGATGATGTTTTACATGCATGCACTGTCAACCGAGACCCAGGTGTATTTTACAAGTTAAAAATTGTAATTATGTAGCCTTAAGGTTATAAATATTATTTCACTTGATATGCAATCTTACAATACTTTTACATATGTTTTTCACTATGTACCTATGGTGGTATTATTAAGGTAGTACACACCTTCTTGGTTGTTGTTGGTTTCTCTACAGGAGCAGGTAACCACTCGTCCAGCGTCTTGGTTTTCAGTCGTTTGTACGCTTCATTACTTTCTTTACTGCTTCCCCACAATCCTTCCTTCACAGTTAGATACACAGCTCCACCTGCAACTCCTAGCTTCGCAGTCGCCCTGTGAATTAACAATACAAACTGAAGTCTGACAATGGAATTATATCTATTTTTGATGCTGCTAACAATTTTGAATTTCTTTCTAATACGTGTGTTTTTCTTTACTTGTTAGTTAGAATAATCTTATTCTAACTGTGTCCCAGGAATAGCCCTCACCACTATCGTTAAACCAGGTCCAAATGACAATATCATTTTAATGATAGAACATTCTGTCTATTTACCTGTATGCCCTGAAGGGCCCAAAATCGGTTATAATAAATCTATTTTACCTTAAACTGCATATAAAACTGCTGTATTCAGGGGTTAGTCAGCTATATATGAGAAAAGTCAAACTCAAAACAAAGAGAGAAGAACTTTGGGTTGTGTATTTATGTACACTCCAAGGTGTATCCTTAGATCATATATTTGCAACTATACCATGTGATGGATGTTAATCTTTTGAAAGAAATGATTTTCAGGGTTTACGCTCAAAGATTGTCAACAGAATCTATTGCATGCTGCAATCAGCTGCGTTTGTTCGAAATTCCTCTGCATGTCATTATGATACAACTTCTTAATTAAACACAACGATAAGCTTAAAGCTGAATTTCTTTAAAAATATAAAACAGACATATATATGTGAACTATTAAAATCTTTCTTGTTTTTCCTCCCATCTACAAAGAGAAATATCGCTTGAAATAGATCAACTCACTTTGCAAGTGTCACAGCCATGACCTTTACCTTTGCTTTCTCTTTTAATGCTTGTGAAGTAATTCAAACCAAGAGTGATTCGTAATGATAAAATTATTGACAACTTGTCCTTCTGGCTTCCTTGGTGATTTTAAAGTTAAAGGGGAAGATTTTGTTTTTTAAAATACAATTTTTATAGATGAAAAATTGTAAAGAAACCTGATAGGAAACACAAATAAGAACTTTACGGAAATTTCTGGTCCTAGCGTATTTTTCTTCTTTTTAGGCACGATTGAAAACAACTTCCTGTGTCAACGTCGCTTCCGGGTGAAAGTTACAACCAGACGGGCTTTTTTGCAGTGCTGTCCATATTTTGTCATTTGTCATTTGTTTGTCGACGCAAACCAAGTCAACCATGGTGGACTACGGTTCTGGACCAGTGAAGGAGAGCATAGACAACACGGTGTTTATAATCCCAGGAATAATTGTTATCTGTTTAGTCTGTAAGTGTGTAATAATTTTCTGAACAACTGAAAGAATTAGCACAATATGGTCAGTGCAGTTTAATTTTCTACCCTGTAATAAGATAGATTAAAAGAATATTTTGACTGATTTTGACATGGACAATGTATTGATAATTGAAAAAGTTGTGGTGTGGGGGAGTGCAAAAAACTACATATTACCGGTATGCTTTTTTCATTGAATAGTTGTAGATAAAATGTTACAGAATTATTTATGTGCAGTTATATTTAAATCTTCAGTACACATATTTGAGCATGTTGCCAGTTGGGTGTGGAATGTAAAGACTTATGAATGTATTACTATAAAACTAATTAAAAATGCAGGAGGGGGGGGGGGCTGTGCACAGCTGTTAATTATGCCAAACCGGCACAATGGCTATAGGATTGGTTCAACATTTCTTGATTTTCTTTCATATGCATTTACATCAAAATATGTTATGAACCTTTGGACCTTTTTTGCAATATTTCAGTTCATATTTCAATTTGTGTTCGAAGAAATTAAGAAATAAAATAGTAATACACTTCACTGTATTTATAAATACATCTGTTGCAGCTTTCTTTGCCTACAAGCTGTTCAAAAGTTTAAGGGAGAAAGAAAAAGCAAAAGAAGAAAAAAAGAAAATGAAGCAACAAAGAAAAGAAAAAGAACAGCAGAAGAGGCAACAAAAGAAGAAATTATGATTTACTCAAATTAGGACATTTTTATTATCAGCAGCTAAATTATTTTTTTGTGATGTGACATTTTCTTTCTGGATGGAAGGGAAGTATAAGTTTGGATATATAAGAGGAATACAAGGAAATCATGCATAAAAAGAAGACCGAAAATTTAACATTATCATGGAAACATATATATATATCCCACCTCAAGTCATGTATATACTAGTGGATATTATAATATCTTGAGAGATTTCTTTTTGTTTAATGTCTGAGATAAAAATCTTTCTATGTTTAATCTCAATATAATGTTCTTTCCTGTCATAAAACCATTTGAAATATTTTTTTATCAAACTACGTACAAGACTCTATTCTTACCATGCTTACTGCATAAGATGTCAAAATTGTAAATGATGATAAACATAAAATGCTACATGTGACTAATTCATTTTAATAATGAAATTGGATTGGACTGATGATCACAATATTGAAACTGTTTGTTTGGGGGTATTGTTGGTCTTACCAAAAAACAAAAAAAAATTCTAAAGGATATTTTCATATGTACCGATTTTTGTTAGTAGTGTGCATGTTATTTCTCTCTATATGTATTTATGTAATTAAAGAAATAAATGCTGTGCATTGTGTGGGGTACTTGGTAAAACACAGGGCTATGTTATCAATTTATTAGATTGAAAATATATTGGTTGTGCAAAAGTGCATTAATGCATTCATTATTAATGAGATATATAAAAGATCATTCTGGCATTATACTTTTACAATTTCATTACATTAATATGTTAAATTTATTGGTTTCATATATATGATTTTAATTTTTGTAGCAATAATTGGGTGATTTGATATGAAAAATTGCATGATTGTACGGTTTTAACTTGCATATTTTTTAACCATATCATTTTCCATTAGTTGCTTTCTCCAATAGTGGTATAAAGTTGTAACACAGCTTTTAGTTCTGGACTCAAGTTAATGTGAAGTTAGTGTAAATCTAGATGTGTATGGGCTATAGATGTCTTTTTTGAGCACATTCCTTCTGTAATGTTGAATGATGAATATTCTCTGTTTAAATTGATTGTTCTAGGGGTGAAAAAGCAATTAATGCCAAAAGATAAAGATTGATGCATCAGACATTTATAATATAACATAACATATTAATTAAAAGATATTCAAATAAATCTCTCTTCCTTCATACTAGTTGCCTATGCTGAATGCACATATCAAATTCATTACAATTTCAATTTTTTTTTTTTTTTTTTGGTAAACTATTCTTCTTATACCTGGTAGTTTAACCAGTATTTATCCCAAGTGTTCAAGTTGTCAGTGTTCCGGATAATAAAAGTTGTATGAAGAATTCCTTTTATAATTATTGTAAGCAAAAAGAACAACAAATTTTTAACACTTCAGCTATCTAATTAGACTTCCGTTTAATTTCTATCAAATGTGTTAACTTTGAATTATTTTTCAATTTGTTTTAGTAATTTAAAATTTTTCCATTATAATAATTGTATACATGTATTTGTCAGAATCACCAATATTTTATTAGAAGTATTACAAAGTGCAATTTTTTTTTTCTATTCTGTTGTAAATTTTCTTCTCAGAATTTTATATGTTTTGAGAGGACTTGCTAAGTACCACATGATATCAAATTTATTTTGTTTTGTTCTGAGTGAAACATGACTATATACTACATGAATATTAAAAAAATTAGTTTCATAGGGAAAAAAGTAGAATTTTCCAGGAAATATGTATAAACATTGGTATTTCTGACCACTTCTTTTAAAGATTTAAATGAAATTTGAATGCAATTTTTTTGTATGTGAAAGAAATTTTCAGTGGAATTTTCTATTTCACCGTCGCCCTGGAGTATATTATTTTTCATTTTTACACAATATATCAAAAAATTGGGCAGGAGGGAATATTAGCACAGAAATGGGTTTTCTGTTAAACTTAGAAATGTACCAAATTATGATTTTGTGGGTCCTACTTTATGCCATATTCTTTAATGATCTATCATATTCATCTTCTCAACTATTGTTAAAGCCAACATTTAAGAACATTAAATTTTTAGGGCACAATTAAGCTCAAACTGTACCCTCTTCTTTCAATGCAATTTTTTTGTATGAAAGAAATCTTTATTTACCAGTATTATTTATTTCCCTAAGAGTACAATTAGAAATTTAATTTAATCTAAAAAAATTAAAGATTTTTTAAAAAGAGTTTTTATAAACTATATGAAATAAAATAATTAGAAAATGTAATTTCTGAAAAATGAAAGTATTTGAATTATGATATTAAACATTTTAAAGCAAATGCTTTTTTTTTCAAACTGTTGCCATTACTTATTTTGAACTTTAAGCAATTTTCTTCCGTTTGAGAAGATTTTTTCCCCATTTTAATAAATGACAGAATTGGGGAGGGAGGGGTGTGTGAAGGAGATGAAAAAAATATTTACTTTTTTAAAATCTTTGTTTTAAAATCAAAAGCAGTAGTATTGATCATTAGATAGACTAATACATGTATTATAATTTACAGAATTTTTACTTTATCATTCATTAGATACTTGGTCATATTTTTAAAAAAAAAATTATGATATGATTCTAATTACAAATTGATCTATGAGTGTTGTATGTACTTATTTCATTATACAAATGTGTAGCATGTTAATAAACATGTCCTTAGAATTGAAAAGATACAAGAAATAAAATTGTTTTATTTTATTAGTAATAAAAATGTTTTACTGCATATCTGTTTTGATCTCTTTTGCTTGCATTGGCCATGGATATCCTGGGTCACTCATTATTAAGAGCACCTGACTTATGATGCAGAGGGTCCCCAGTTCGATTCCTGATCCAGTCATATATTTTCCCCTTTCCCATTAATAATTTGAGGGCAAAGACATTTGTAGGACTTGCAGGTGAAAGTCCTGCCAGGGGCTAAAAGAACTTGGATTGTGTCTTTAGGTGGGTTGTATCCACAAGGGCAAACTGTAGAAAATTTTTGGAGGGAGGATAAAATGGTCTAGGCCTGGTTTACTTAGTAAATAGAGCACCTGACTAGTAAAAGAGGGGTTTCAGGTTTTGATTTATGGGCTAGTCATATTCTTTCTGCTTTGCCAAGTCACCCGTGTGGTGCAGTGGTTAGAGGATCTGCTCTTGAGAAGTGAAGTAAAGAGTCGATCCTTACGTCACAAGTTTGAATCCCATTGTGGGAAGTGGAGACCGCTCCTTATGATGAGACCGTATAAACTGAGGTCCCGTGTCGCAGTAGGTGCTGGCACAAAAAAAGATTTCTCACTGCTCCATTGCCCTCAGTGTCGAGTACCAGGTATAGGTCAAAATTTGCAGCTCTCCACCAGCAAGTGTTGGCATCTCCATATGAGTGAAAAATTCTTGAGAGGAAACAATATACAATCAATCAATCTACTTTGCCCATGATAATTTGGTGCTGCTGACTATCTCTTGAACTTAGTATTAAAGCTAGAAGAGGGGAATGTAATTGAACAATATCCATATGGGTAACTCAGAATGTGGAACACATGCACAGATGCAGGGGTCCTAAGTTTGATTCCTTGCCCATAACACAATTTCTGAAGATAATGTGACTGTTGATACATGTATCAGCCTTAGTACATGTTGCTCGTGGGAAAAAAATTCTGTGAATCTAAGCGCTGTTGCAGAGAGTGATCAACTCAATCTTGATGAAATATATGGATAAAAAACAAATCAAGGATAAAATTCCCTAGGAATAACACTAGACAGTTTGGAACAGAGAAAATAAGAACCCCTAAAAATATCAGGGATGGGATCAGGTGCCATGGCGGATAAAATATCCCTTGTTAACCAGTCACACCTCCCTTGTGACAGTCATGATCCAGCAATCAAAAAAACCGTCCCGTAGACAATTCAATGTGAAAATAGTGATCTAACGATGTCATTTGTGAAATGTTGAATTTATCCCTATAATGCCAACTTATTAGACAGTAACTTGCCTTTTTCTAGAAATTGTTTCCATGTACAACTGGAGTCTACTTCAGCATGGTGTACTAGGGCAATGCTTATATGTCCATAATACATAATTCACAGTAAATTCTAACAATATAATCATTCTCCCTTCGTCATCTCCATATGTTCATTACTTCTTAATTAAACTTTAAACTCTTTTGTACAAAAAAATTCCATCTCCAACTTTTCATTCATTGGTAGTATATTGATACCTATTATCATCTATGCATGTATCAGATTCAATACTTTGAATTCTGAATGAATCAGCATACATATGCATGTAAAGTGGAATGCCATTAATTTAACTACCAGGCCACCCTTGAAGAAATATCTCCCGACCGACTGACCAAAATAGCCCCAACTCCAAAACTTTTTTTTATAATTCCAGGACACAATATATTTTTTTTCTTTTTATTCCTCATATCCGGTCAGCAAATAAGTTACAATTTTCTAGAAAAAAGATTTTTCCACCATCCATCCAAACAAATAATTTTACCCCAAGTCGGGAGAGGGCAAGGAACCATTATTTTAAAGATGGCCCCAGGAATCTTATACAAGTGTTAAATAAAGTGTTAATTCCCAAACAAATGTAGAAATTTAATATATTATTAATATTTATTTCTCAAATTTTTTTTAAACTTTCAACATATTTCTATTAAGCTTTCATTTTCACAATAAATGCTATAATTAAGTAAACTCTTCACACTCTCTTCATATCTCATTCTCTGTCTTGCAAGATCTTTAAACATATATATCACAAATGGATTTTAAATACGAGGGTCATTCAAAAAGTTCGTAGACTTTTGTCCTAACTGTTTTATTTAACATCATATTATACCCAAATTTGGTACAAATATTTTAACAACAGATTCAAATAATTTGAGTAAAAAAATTGGAATGTATCTTCATATTTATTCAAATTACCAAGGATTTAGAACAGCAAAAATGGGGTCACGGAGCATCGTCAAAATTGAGTAATTTACTAATTTTCACTTTATAGTATTTGCAGCCATACCTCTAATAAATGGAGCTGAAACGAAATGAAATTTACATGTTTAAATAAAGTATTGCTGTATTAATTAAAATGAAATCAGGTTATGTAATATGTCGCTCCATTTAAAAGATATCAGTATCTAAATACATATGGACTTGATTAAAAAAAGCAAAAAAACCATGACGTTGGAGGACATCACGGAGCAGCAAGTAGCAATAAAATTGTACTTTACATTTAGGAAACTTTTTCTACAAGCTTAAAAAATCCGTATAAACCAGGATCTGTATGAAAATTAATCTGTGTATTTGTATTAAATGGAAAATACAATTTTTGAGTGGTAGCTAGTTTGAATCGGACGATGGATTGTCTGCAAAGAAACAGGTTAAAGTTAAAAATATGTGTTTACGTAAAGAGTTGATCTAACTTGTCATAAATATATGACGTGACATGTGCCTCACTGTTTTTTTGAATTAATAGAGTTACATGGTAAAATTGCAAAGAAATTGAAAACAATGACACTTGCTCTATATACAAGTTATATTTGTTTTTTTTGCCCTTGTAAACAATTGTGTAGGAAAGTAGTTGTTAAGTGTTATGGATATGTTTTTTAAATGGAGATGACATTACAAACCGTGTGGAAATTAAGAAAATTAATTTAATTTTGTAAAATTCCTCAACATTGTCTTTGACGTATATAATGTTGGTTAACCGAGAGCAAATGGTACCGTTTAACAAAACATGTTGCTTAAAAATTTGGCTAACATGAGTTCTATTTAATCAAATGGTATGAAACTTCACACTTCAACAAAATAAATGTTTATGTTTACGTAAATGTGTTGATCTATAATCTTGTAATAAATATATGACGATAAGAAGCATTGTCTATGTATTTTTTGAATGACCCTCGTAATTTTCTTTAAAATTGCAAAGGAAATTCAGCTCTTTTTTTCACACTTGCTCTATATATACAGTATACAGGGGTGTTTTTTTTTTTTGCCCTTGTAAACAATATTGTAGGATTTTAATTAAATTTGTCTACAAATCTGTTTGAGAAATTAATTTTAAAATGGGCAAATTTATTTACAAGTGTGGAAGAGTTTACAGAATAAAATAATTTTTCCTTTCTATGTAAATATTAATCAGACAGAAGAAATTTCTGAATTGCCTTATATAAAAAAAATTCCATAACGAGAGCAAATGGTACCGTTTCACAAATTTCCAAGTTTTAGTGCTTAACTGTAAATTCATTAGATTTTTTCGTGGCTCAATCTTCAAGGAATTCTTGGTATCTCTCATCCATGAATTAACATTCTCCATAAATTAATGAATAATGATAAGTCATATTTGCAGGTGTAATAGAATACCCGGTACACAAATTTATGTCCCGTAGAAGCAATCCACGAAAAATCCACATGTTAAACAGCTCAGTATGCTTGGTTTCCACATCTGACATATACAGACTGATAGAGCTGGTTTCATATTCCTCTATCATTCCTAAATGCATACAATATCAAAATAATTAAGCACAGTTTTGTGAACAGATGTACATTGTGCAGGATGCAAAAAAAAACTAAAATAATTATTTTATGTACATTTCCTTAAGAGGAAGATTAAAACTGACACAATGTCCTATTGCAGATATATAGTATGTGTATAAACACAAAGAAGAAGAACTTTGAAGTTATGAAGTCAACAAATATTGAAAAGAAGTAAAACAATTGTTTACACATATTTCAACAATTTACACACACACACAAACACAACACACAACACACATTTTTACATTTTTGTACAATTTTTTGTTTTTACAATTTATTTCAAATTAAATAATCAAACACCCCATCCCTGCCCCACACAATTTACATCACTAATGAGATGCACATTGAACTCTTTGACCCCCGTGCATATCGTCATCATCATCATCCTCATAAGCTTCTCGGCGACGTTTTTGTTCGTATTCCTTAAATTTGAAGATCGAGGCTATTAAAATGTACGTGGTGGTCAAAGAACTACCTATTGTTCATGTGGGTTCTTTACGCGGTGGCAATATTTTCTCCAGTTCCGGAATTTGTTCAATTTTCATGTTTTTGGGAAATTTCACATCGAATTTGATTATCAACCGGCCCTTTTCAAATGGATTTTTGTACATGGGCATTCCTTCGTTCATTACACATTTGAGATCATTGGTTTTCACAACTTCACCTAAAATGAAACCAAAAAAGAATAAATAACTGCACGTAGCATACCCTGGTATTATAGACTTATTCAAATCAGGAAGGTTAATGTGGAATCATTTTCATTTTGGTCAATGTTCCTGATCAAGCAAATTTTATTAATTTGAGGGGAGATAATTTTGTAGACCTGTAACTAGGTTATCACAGAGATTCAGTGCATCAATCCATTTGCAAAATAATCATTCAAGGGGAGGTAGATTTGCTATTATAAAGGACAAACCACAAAATCAAAGAACATTGGTCTCCCACGAATATCGAGGATTTCATACTATCCTGACCTACACAAATGGAGATTTGCATTGAGCAGATATTTAAAAAATTGTATTAAAATTATTGTTGCTCAATATCAATATTACCAAATCCAGTGCAACAGACAATTACTACTGCCAATCAGCAAATATATCCAATCTAATGCCACACACAATTAATTTTTTACTATTGCTAGATGTGGCAAATGCATTCAATCCAGTGCTACACATAATAACCATTACACAACCTACCAGGAATGGTGGAGATGACGAGGGTTCTTTTATCCAGGGTGGTGATCGTCCTATGGAAGCCACACAGTGCCTCCACCAACTCCAGCTCCATGGTCATCACCAGGTCCTGGCCCCGCCGCTGGAAGACGTCGTGCGGCTTCTCGTCCAGGACGATGATGATGTCGCCCGGCTCTAATCCCGGCTCTTGGTCCCCTTCTCCCGCGAATCGGATATTCTCACCGTCTTTCATGCCTACAAAATGTTTACATTGTGATTACATTTTCATTTGTTTGAATGTAAAATAAGGTCTCTTTTGGATGCATTATTTATCTTTCTTAATATTTACTTTAATTAATCTCACATTTATATTTTTTCACCCCAAAACAGTAGATGCTGCTTTTATGTATGAAAGTCTTTTAATAATGAATGAATGTGAATTTGTAGCTAGAGAATTTAAAATTGTGAAATAATGTGTACTTAAAAAACCATTGCAGGCTTTGTGTACTGTGTGCCAACTTACTTTGAAATCAAACTAAAACTGGAAGGAGTAGCGTTTTAAAGGAATTTCACAGAAAATTCTATTTTTAAGGTTAGATCGCAAAAACCGATGCACTATTCTAAATACAGGGTGTGCCAAGTTATATTGAAATCAGACCAAAACTGTAGAAGGAGTAGCGTTTTAAAGGAATTTCACAGAAAATTCTATTTTTAGTAACCATATGTTTTCAATATATATGTATTTAGTGTAGTCTACTTGTGTGCCATTTTCAATGTATGTTTACTCATTCCTTCTTTTTTATACTACAGATCGGTGCCGTGGCCTACCTGTGTGCCAAGTCAGGCAATGTATAATTACTAATGTTAAGTTTCATGACAAGGTGGCAACACCGTTCACCAAAATCAAAAACCGATGCACTATTCTGTCTTAGTGTAGTCTACTTGTGTGCCAAGTTATATTGAAATCAAACCAAAACTGTAGAAGGAGTAGCGTTTTAAAGGAATTTCACAGAAAATTCTATTTTTAGTAACCATGGCAACCCGTTCATCGCAATCAAAAACCGATGCACTATTCTATGTATCTTAGTGTAGTCTACTTGTGTGCCAAGTTATACTGAAATCAGACCAAAACTGTAGAAGAAGTAGAGTTTTCAAGGAATTTCACAGAAAATTATATTTTTAGTAACCATGGCAACACCGTTCATTGAAATCAAAAACCGATGCACATCGGCCTTGTGTGCCAAGTTATATTGAAATCTCAAAATTGTAGGAGGAGTTTTTGAGTTTACCACCTGACAAGAAATACAAGGGTCCTGGGTTCAATTCCCGGCCCAGCCATATGTTTTCAATATATATGTATTTATGAATTTTCAATGTATGTTTACTCATTCCTCCTTTCCATACTACAAATGCCATGGTGTCTAGTTTAAAACATGAACTAAGTTCAATCATTGGAAAATTGTTGCATGATGCTCACGTACAAAAACCAATGTTTTCTTGTAGGTTTCACATCCTGTAGTTTGTTTTTTTCAGTTAAAGTTAGGAAATACCTTTTTGTTTTAAAAAAATGTTGTACTGATAAATATGATGCTTTTGGGGGTATCTCCACCACAAAATTGGAATAATTTCAAATTTTTGGCCATATGATTCCATCCCTCTAACATTAATGCAGGGTAATTCTACATTCTCCAGTATTTAAAAACCTCTGTACAAAATGGCGATGAGAGGGGTGGTGTTCAATAAATCTCTTCTCTTACACTCTCACCTTTATCAATATGAACCTCCAGAATCTTTCTCTCTCTATTCACTTTCTTTCCGAGACAGGTTTTACACCGGTGTTTGGGGTTGATGTTTTCTCCTTTACCAGAACACTCATTACAGACGGTCTGGATCTGTTGAACCATACCGGGACCTAGCTGGTGGATCTTGACCTGCATTCCACTTCCTTTACAGTTCGTACACTTCTGTACAGCACCCTCCTTACCTCCACGACCTGAATAAAAACATCACATATAGGAATTTTTTTTCTGATTTAAGAATTTTCAATTTGCTTTTCATCATGTCTGGCAGATTAATCTTAGCAATAATTTTATATAACCTTTGTCAATAAACAAAACTTTTATATACTTCTCTTCACCAATTCAAAACTTTTATATACTTCTCTTTACTTAATTTCAAAATAAATGATTAATAATTTTATGATAACATTTGTGTGAAATATTTACATTTTAACAATTGTGAAATTATACACAATACATGTAACCAATAGGTAATAAAGATAGTACACATCAGTATATGCACCAGATCATGAGATACATTATCTTTGTGAGATCAGGCCACAATTAAAATATTGTTGGTTTGGCATTGCCGACCAACAAAAACGTTGTACATCCAAAAATGCAAAATTTTTTTTTTTTCAATTTTGAAATGTTTCTAGTTTTCGGGTTAGACCTATATAAAAACTTAAAACTAGTCCTTTATTTTGAAAATGTTATTTATTTTCAAATCCTATTAAGTTTAAAACTTTTAATATACATTTGTAAAAAAATTTGGTTTATATAAGCATAAAGTTGTTTTGATAGACCTGCATGGCCGCATAACTTTTACTAGAACTGTCCAATAGGGAAAATGTATGTGGTTTTTCAGCATCTGAAGGTGCAAGTCCTTTATGCATCTAGAGGTGTTCACTATTTACTTATAAAAATTTACAGTAAAATATAAGTGCTCATTATGTTTCTTAATGAGTGAAACAAAAGTAACCAAAAAACATCAATACCTTTTCATTGTAATTCAATGGTAACATTTTTTTATTTCTGCATTAAAGAAATATATTGCAATTATGTGTCATGACACTCTGCAAACTAATTGTTGAAAAAAAAATCATTATACAAAATCAAATTAATCTTGATATATCAAATTCATTTTGAAAATAAAAAGCTGGTCATCAAGTAATGAAGTGCTTTACTCGACAATAAATTACAATTAAGAGAATAAGAGAAAGATCTTTAATATTGTGCCTTATTCCCTAAGATTTGATAACACACACACGCTTGATAAGGCAAGTCATTAATTTATCTTTAACTGGTTCATGTCCAGCCATTATTCCTTGAGAAATGAATTTACATTATCTTCAAAAATTTAAAAACTGTTTTAAACACTTGAAAATGTTTCTTTTTTTCAGTTTTAATGAGTTGTTTTAATATGCATCTAGATGTATCATTTTGCAAGTTTGGTCATTATATCTCTCAAACCTTATAATGAGCCTGCAAAATGAACAAGTCAATTTAAATAAAAAAAAACCTGTAAAATGCATCCAAAAATAAACAAATAAAATTGAAAATTCCAGATGCAAACCTTGCATTTGGTTAATAATATGTGCTTTTCAGATAAATCCTTGCAAAGTTTGAAACCTGCACAAGACCACAAAATAAAACCTGAAAAAACACCTGTAAAATTCAAAATAATCATCCAATCAAGATGAAAATAGCAGGTGCACACCTTCATATGGTGAATATCCATGCAAGTTTGGTCATTATAGGGCTCATAGTTTTTGAGAAATGAAACCTGCACCAAAAACTTTAACCTGTTCACTCAACCAGAAAATGTAGGTCAGATTCAGCATCCGAAGCAAGTCTGGGGGTATGCACCTAATCATGTACCATCCATGTAAGTTTGGTTTCAACAAAGGGTATATATTTGTCAAATATTTTGTCCTACACATTACAAAAAGTGCACCAAAAATGTTCTCTGCACCAAAAACATTAACCTGGTCATTCCTTTGCTGAAATTTCAACATCACAAACTTTGCTTTTAAATGAAAACATTAGATCAACATCTTCCATGCATGTCTAATCAAATGTAGGACATAAAGTATATAGAACGAAAGAAAATTATGATCCATATCCAAAAAACTTAACCTTAACCCGGGATGCCGACGCCGACACCGACCCGATGCGGCACCACCAAACAAAGCTAATTTTAGGTGAGCTAATTATTACATACTTGCCTTTCAATGTGAAATAATTAACGGATACTTTCAGATACTTATCTATATGATAAGATAATTAATGGATACTTTCAGATACTCACCTTCACATTTATCACAGATGACATTCTTGGACAAGGCCAGTTTGCGGGTGGCTCCATTATACAAGTCCTCTAGACTGACCTGGAGCTGATGAACCACATTTTTCCCCTTTGAGGGCCCCCGACCCCTCCTTCCTCCCCCTCCACCAAAGAACATATCAAAAATGTCAAAGGGGTTGTGGAAATCACCCCCACTTCCTCCCCCTTTGATGGCCTCTTCCCCACCCTCATCGTAAATATCACGTTTCTTGGGGTCGGACAGAACTTCATAGGCTTGGCTGATCAACTTGAACTGTGGAAAAAGATTTCAGATCTCTACTTCAATATCTCACCGTCGTTAAGATAAGCAACTATCAGAGCTTAACTAAGATTTAAATTAAATCATAAATAGCATTTCAGATATGATATTATCTAACCATGTAAAAGATGTCTCTGTTTTTTTATGAACATCATACAGCTAATTTACACTGTATATATTCATAGTTACAATTTGCAAGTAAAAATGAAAGCATTTTACTATTATGTTGATAAATTTTGAATCGCCATTATCATGGGTTACCAATTTAATTAAATTAGATCTTTGATCCCCTCCATCAAGATCAATATACAAAGCTTTATTTAGTGATTTAGTTCAAGCATATCAAAGATCTAAATTAAATTTATAGATTACCTTTTCTGGTTCATCTGGATTTTTATCTGGGTGGTACTTCAATGCTAGTTTCCTGTAAGCCTTCTTGATTTCATCAGGTTGGGCAGTTGGCTTGACACCAAGTATGTCATAATAACCCGTCTCTTTTACCATTTCTTAGATTTCCTTAACAATAAAATGTGTTAAACATGTTAAATTTGTCTTCAATCTAGTATAACTTAACATTTTTGTAAAGAGTGGATTTGACTTTCAATTTTTAAAATCTCAAATTCATTAAAATTCACAAGACATCTTGGACATGGGGAAAAACATTTTAAACCTTTTTTCTACTTTCAATTTTGAATCCTCTCAGACCCCACCCCACAAAAAAAAAGGAGAAATTTTACGCATCTCAATGATCTTCTGTGGAAGTCAGAAGGTTTGAATACAGGAGCACCACCATCTCCCCCTTTCCTCCTATCTATCACACATAGCAGAAATTTCTGTTGTCAGGAACACTCCTTTTATTCCCCAATGTGAGATATTTCCTTTTCTAAATCTAATTTTTAGAGATCTACCCTAGTTACTCAAGTTTCTCCCTCGTATTACTGTGTTCATACCATTTTATTCCTTCCATAGTTTGAAAAAATAAAACATTAAAAATAAATTATAACACATGTAAAAAGCATCCTGATCACCTTGGACACAGCAGCCTGAAATGAAAAAAAAATCTCCAAAGAATTTAAAAAATTACACTTGACTTTTTTTCTCCTTTTGTCACTTACCGATATTAAAATGTCTTAACACAGAGCAGATTTATCCTAGATTATCGCCTCTTTCGTCACCAGGATTGTAATTTATATTTACAGACGTTTCTAGAGAATTCCTCCACGATTCTCTCACAGCCTGGCTGTTATTCATTAAGCCGGAAGTCCACATTACTTAGTATACGGAAACATGTTGGGACAACACTTAAATTTCCGTAATAATAAAGAATTAACGAGGTTTTCCGCAAATTCTATCAGGAATATTGATATCTTCTCAATTTTGCATATTTTTGAGATTTTGTACAAACGCAGATCCATTTGAATGGTGGTGGTGGTGTGGCCAAGTGGGTTGGTGGGCGCACAAACTTATAAAAAAAAAAAAAAAAAACGGAGGGGGGGGGTGTTACTTCACCATGATCCATATAACACTCACTATCACCACTGCATGAATAATTTTTTATAAATATAATAGCTGTTTTCATTCAGCAGCGTACGTTGAATGATTGATTGTATGTTGTTTTACGTCCCATTCAAGAATTTTTCACTCATATAGAGAGGTACATCACCTTCGGTGAACAGGTGAAGGGCTTCAAATGTTGGAGCAGAGAGGCATCTTTATCATGCCAATGTCTATACAGTCTACCGTGACACAGGGCCTCTGTTTTCAGAGTCTCGCCCGAAGGACACAGGCAGCTGAGTAGGATCTGGCAAGTCACATGTCTACATCTATGTTTTGTATACGTACAATGTATCTATAAGATCCAAAGAGGAGCGGATCTGTATTTCTAAATGTGCATGCATGTGTATGCAGGTTCCACAAAGCAGTGGATCTACGCTGAATTACTCACATCGTGGCTGGACATGCTGAAAAAGTCACAAAAAATTACAAGATCTTTTCAGAATTGACAGAAAACGAGAACTTGTAAATTTGAGAAAATTGTGTGTAAGAAAAAATTTGAAATTTTTAAATCCATAATATAAAATCATACGTAATTTCTACTTTAAAAAAAAAATAATAACCCTATATTTGTTGAATTTGTTTTTTTTTTAAATATTTATTTAAAATGTATTAGTTTTTATCTTTCGGTGAATGTAATTTATGAATTTGAAGAAATTTATTGTTATTGTTTTATTTACATGCAGAATACTGGGATGTGTTTGTACCAGAAAATTATTTGAAATTATCTGACCAGATCCCTGATAAAAGAAAATATACTTACCATGCCAATGTTGTAAATCTAGCACTTATCCATGTGGCCTTTGTGATACAAAATCTTTTTAAACGTGTTATAAAAACATGAGCGCTTCATCCTTTCTTCCAGCATGTCCAATGATTTTTTTTTTCAATTTTATTGATAAGAGAACCACTGTTCTCAGTAGCGCTGTCCAGCAGGAAAATTGCGTAACAAGGTTATCATGACACTGAAACTGACCTGCGAAACCAGCGACTTAGGAATGCAGTGGTGGGTCCGGGGGGGGGGGGGGGGTACGGGGGGTCGCAACCCCCTCTCCCTCTTTGAATTTCCTAAAAAAGAGAGAGAAAGAAGAGAGTCCCAAATTTTTGCTGTGTTTTTACTATAGAAAATGTTAAGTGAAAGGCTAATGGAATTTTTAACTACATGAAGGAATTCGGCTGTGAAAAGAAAATTCCCCATATTACAAAATAGGATTTTCATTTCGGGTTCGGAGATTTACAGACACGTAGTACTCCCCCCCCCCCCCCCTTCTTTTCAGACATAATTTTTTTACCATAGAAAATGTTCATTGAAAAACAGGTTGTTCCCTCATTTTTTGTTGCAGCAGTGTAAAATTAGAATAATGTAGTATGTATTGAGCAAATTAAAGAAAGTGGTAATGAAAGAATTAAGTTGGAACCTACCATATGCATTCCCTCCCCAAACCATCGATTCCCACAAAGAAAGATTTTCGAGTTGGACAATTTTCTTTTTTTCAGGTAAGTTGATTTTTTCTCTCCCCTCCCCCTTCCCCTTCAAAAACAATATGCTACATCCCTGTCAAAAACTTTAAGGTAATCTATTTTTTTTTCCAGGCTGATATCAAATTAAAGATAATTAATAAAACATTATACAAAATGTTGCAGAAAGTATTAATAGTTAGAATAATCTAGCCGTGTCTCAGGGCAAGCCCCCACCACTGGGTCCGTATAGGACATTTATCACTATTTTTAACGATAGAACAGTATATCAATACAGAAGTTATATATAGCTTAGGATACTCAAATAAAATATTTGGTTGCCCTAATGACTAAAAATTGACCGACTCAAAAACTTTTATTTTTACATTCTAAGACACGATATTTTTTCTTTTGATTCCTCTTATGCCGTCAACAAAATATGTTTAAATTTTCTGCATGAAAAAAAAGATTTTCACATGTACCCACCGACCCAATAAATTCTACCTGAATGGGAGAGGCCCGGACTGGCAAAAATTCTTTTAAAGATCATGGCCTTAATATAAAAAGTTAAAATAGAAAAAGAAAAGTAAATATAATTTCAAAACGCTTTAAAAAAAACTTCAAAATATTGACAATTATGAAAATGCTATTTTTTTTTTTTTATAAAAGACTGTTGTAAAAATCGTATATAATATAAAATATTCCATTTAGTGATGATAATAAATATCAAATGCTAAAAATAAAATATTTACATTTGCTCAAAAGTAGAGAATTGATTAAATAAAAAAAAAATTATATTGTCATTAATTCATTCATTCATTCATTAAGTATCATTTGATAGATTAATCAAAATAATATTTTTTAAGATATTTATTTATTTAGTTTATCATTATTTATTTCTGAATTTTATTTTATTTCATTTTATTCATTTATTTATTTTTGCACAATGTATCCGGAACTAGTTTTTATCTTGCAACGTGGAGACAACTTAACTTCCGGATTGACGACACAAGTAATTTTAGATGCCTAGGTTGACATTTATTTCGTGAAAAGCATAATTTCTGTCTCATTTATCTCTTCACTGAACACTCATATTTTGGAAACTTTTCCAAGAGAAGTCTTCTTCCTTTTGATGGACAAAGATGTGACAAGAATCTAAATTTCTGTACATCTGACGTAAGTAAAGTAAAGGAAATTCGAGATATTTTTTCTCTGCGGTTGAGAGAAACAAAATTCATATAATCATATCTTAAAATATATCTTTTCATTAAGTATTTTGTCATCATATAGTCTAGGGACATTTTATCCATCAATCTGCTGTTTTATAGACAACATTTTGAATATTTAAGCGCCATTTTCACAGTATTTGTGTTCAATGTGTTGCACTGAGAGCAAAAATTCAACTTGATTTTATGTAATTTTTCTTTATATTTTCTGAAAGTATTATAACTGAGGCAAATTAATCCAAAAAATCATTAAGTATTCGTTTTTAGTTTCAGAGATATCACACTTTTAAGTTTGTGCATTTGTATGTGTAACGGACACTACAATCCACCATGTTATATCCTTTTAGTTAATATAAAATGATCGTAGAACTAAGATTACTACTTGTATTTCTTGAGTATATGCATTTTTCCACTCTAGGAAGGTAAAATCTTTTTCTTAATGGTTGAACTTAATTTTAGGGTAAAAAACCAAGTTTATACTTTTAATTGCAAAATTTTGACGTGCAACTTCTGTTCTGCATGTCTCTTAGAATATTTGAAGTAGATCCTAGTAATTACCTTCACAGTATATGCTGATATATTGAAAACAAGACTCAGTTACTATATTTATCAATTCAAAGGTGATCTTTTATTTTTTCATGATTCAAATTATGCTACTTTAGTGTAACGGACACTACAGAATAAATTTAAAGAAGATATTATCCACTATAGAATGAATAAATAAACCTATGTCATACAAAATTTTACGTGATCTCATTAGCTTCATTTTTTAACACATTTCATGGAAAAACTAACTTTAGAAAAGATTTTCAAAAAATATGTACCAACTTCGGAGTGTAACAAAAAGTCTCACTTTTTATTTATTTTTTTTTTGTTATATTAATGATGAGATGTTATAGTTTCACTTAAATAGTCATATAATGTCGTTTTATGTTCTCCTTTGTGTGCATATTAAGATCAGAGTATATTTCATCTCATAATCTTTCTTATTAACAGAATAAAATAAGTTACATTATGTAACGGACACTACAGCTAATCTTGAAAATTTAATTTCAGGACAGAATTTCTTTTGTGTGGCTCTAAATAAAGCTAGAATATGCAAACAAAAGCATTATTAGGTAACTCAATGATAATAAATCATAGGGAAAGATTGAACCTTTAAAGTTTTTATTAATATTTGCCACATGATAAGGAATTTTTCTACACACATGTGGTTTGAACATATAAACACAAGAAAATATATTTAAATAACAGACACTGTCACACTTTATTCTACTTTTAATAATATCATTTGTGAGGCATTGTTAATTTCTTACTATATTTGAGCTTGATATAAATGGATTCTTTAATTTTTCATATAATGTTTGATATTGTAACGGACACTACAAAGTCTACATAATTGCTATTTCTCATAAGTTGGGAATCTTCAGCAAGTTTTTAACTTAAAAATCCAATCATTGTAATAAAATGTATCTTCAGAGTATAATTGCACGTCACGCCATTTTCACAGTATTTGTGATAATTCAAGCATACAAGTGTTATACGACCTTAAAACAATGCAAAAGACACCATCAGGGTAAACTTAATGTTTAATTAGCAGTTTTTGTGGAGTTCTTATGATAAAAATGATATATGACATGCCTATGTAAGAAATTTTGGAAAAAAATACCATAAATTAGGGTAAATTTCCCTCTTTTTTTGTGTTATGCTGTTGCACTCCAAAAAGTACATATTTGTTTAAATTATCAATAAAGCTTACAATATCAATTCATTATGTTATGGTTGTGAGGTTATAATGTAGACATTCATTTTTCATATGTTTTTTATTTGATGGAAATTGGTCGAGAAATGTACAAATGGGACATAATTAGGTAAACATATGTCTTTGTTATGCATTTTGTATTTTAGTTTACGTTTCTATCTTTCATGTCTTTTTTCTCATTTTGTCCTTCAATTTTATCTCATGATCTTTCTCTGGGTCATTCTTCATCCTCTCTCTATACTTTTTCATTCTTTCTTTTGCACTCATCATTATTGTTTAATCAGTTAAGTGGGTCTGAAAAATACTAAATATTAATGTTATTCAAGCGGTTAAATTTATGTAGTGTCCGTTACATTGAAGATAGCAATAAAATGTTTGTGATACTTCAAATCACAGTGAAATAGGGCCAAAAGATTTTAAACAGATTTGTCTGAATAAAATTCATTATTTTTTTTAATATTTCATGTATATCTGATTATAAAATTAAAATTTTAGTTTGACATAACCATAACTTGTTATGTGAACCGTTTAAATAGTCTATTATATAAAAGTTTACTTATTGTAATCAAATTCTACTATTCTTTTAGTATTTAAGATTAGAAAACAGAATAAGGCTGATAAGTATTGTTTTAAGCATAATGAATAGGATTTAAATAAATATGTAACGGACACTACGGTGTAACGGACACTACAAAACCCAGCGTCTATGGGAAATTCCTACAAATGTGTTGTATTATAAATGAGATATTTTGTGATTATTGAGCCAGGTATAGTGTCTTTCTTTTCCCTTGATCATGCAGTGATTGCATGGATACACTCTGAGAAATGAGGGCGTAACGGACACTACATGATTTTTTTCCCCTCTTCAAGCCTGAAATAGAAATGATACAAAATCATTAATATGCGTTCAAATAAGTTCCATTCAAAATTTTTCTTCAAGTATATCACTTAATTGATTATTTAGTAACAAAACAGTGTAGAAACATACATTTTTTTTAAATCTACAGTGACTTAGATATATCAACTAGTAAAAAATACAAAATGCATAACAAAGACATATGTTTACCTAATTATGTCCCATTTGTACATTTCTCGACCAATTTCCATCAAATAAAAAACATATGAAAAATGAATGTCTACATTATAACCTCACAACCATAACATAATGAATTGATATTGTAAGCTTTATTGATAATTTAAACAAATGTGTACTTTTTTTGAGTGCAACAGCATAACACAAAAAAAGAGGGAAATTTACCCTAATTTATGGAATTTTTTTCCAAAATTTCTTACATAGGCATGTCATATATCATTTTTATCATAAAAACTCCACAAAAACTGCTAATTAAACATTAAGTTTACCCTGATGGTGTCTTTTGCATTGTTTTAAGGTCGTATAACACTTGTATGCTTGAATTATCACAAATACTGTGAAAATGGCGAAGGCTTTTTGACAGATCAACAGCTGATAAATAAGTTATGTTCATTTGGTGTTCATATGCAGGAATGAATTTATTGAAATTTGGTATATTTCAATAGTTATTATTTTCAACAAACTTCTGAAATGTTTACTTTTGACTAAGAATTTACAAGAACTTGGATATTTACCCTATTAAATGTTGTACACCATAGGCGCCTCCCATGCAATTCTTTATTGACAAAATATATATTGGTCTATCCCTCTATACTATAAAATCAACACAGTATAGATGTGATAGAGGGTTAGGCCTTCATTGCGGTGGAGATTCTGCTGGGCTACGTATTTATGTATACAGATATAGACATCCCAGACCAAATATCCAGCCCAGCAGAATCTCCACCGAGATTGGGTAAGACATATGTATTGTAACGTGTAACCGAAGGGTCCGTATTCAGGAGATACAGGGTCCAATATGTAAAAATGAACGAACGTTTCCTATGGCTCTATCTGAACCTATAATTATTCTGGGAATCAATATTATATACAACAATGATTATTTATTATTTTCATGGGATTCTTGTCCTTTTAACTTTTTTTTTAAATATAAACAACGGGACACAAGCCGAGGTTCTCTTTGTAAACGGGTACTGTGACTGGGCTCCTTGCACCTGGTAACCAAGTTCCTATTGAATTGAGCACTCGGTGCCTCACCCTTACTCAGGATTACTACACCTTGTGCTTCAATTCAATTCCTTGGCTAAATACAGACCGGTGCTCTGTACCCTAGCCTTTTTATCCTTCTTTTACCCTTTAAATACTTTTTGATTTTATTACTACCTTTATTCTTCTATTCCGCTTCTTGCTTCTTCTTCTACGGGTTTCAGAATGAGAGAGACTGCCTCTGCAGTCATTTATATAGCAAAGGGCCATACCATTCAAACAGGGGTGAACAGGCTCTTGGACTGTTCCATTATTCCAGATCAGACAAGCATTTGAATGGCATAGGCCGATTGCCTTATTCATTACTCATTACACTACCCACGCCTCTGTACACTTGCGTCCCGCATGTTTATTGGTTACGTTTTTTTTTAAGACAACAAAAAGATCAACAAAACGAGGTTAAGAATTCCTTTCTTATACCTAGTTAAACAATTATTCAAGTATTTACAACAATAGACTTATGTACATGTACATTGTTTCTTTTCCAAAGTACATCACTATAATTAGTCATTCCAAATGTCTTCCTCAACTCTCTCCACACATTCACCATCCTTTTGGTATTTTCTTACAACTCTGACTGTCTTCTGGTGACGACTTGTGTCCGTCTGAGTGCTGGCATCCAACCTAGTAACATGTTCCCTACAGCAGGGGCAGTGATGTAAAATCATGGGCGCCTCATGATCCTTACCATCATCCGCCATGCTTGAATCTTTGTCTGCAGATTGGTCAGGCACCTTATCTACAAGTTCGTCTGCCTTGCGCTTGACTCCAGGGAGACTGGGCGACGTTTTCTTCCTGATGGTTCTACCAACTTCAAGGCCTGTCTCATAAATAAGATCTCCTGGGTCTTCTTGCCAGTCAGAATCATCATCATGGTTATCTACAACAACGGATTTGGAGTTCGATGGTACATGTTTTTCTCCACCTTGCAAACCAGGAGTTGAATGTAACCTCTTCTGGTGTCTCATTAGAAGGGAATGCTTAGCAAATGCCTTGTCACACTGATTACACTCAAATTTTCGTTTATTCATGTCATCAGTAGCACATG